TATGGCTTTAACTGCATTTTACAAGTTAGGAAACTGAGGCTCGGTTCAATCACGTGTCTGAACATCACATGGGAAGTAATGAAACCGAACTGCTGTCCAGGCTTACCAAACTCTCCGCACATATTCCCCCGTCTACAGAGAGTTGTATAGAAAGCATGTACAGGTGAGGGATTTGGTGCCTTTTTTTTTCCCTGTTGTACTTGCCTGGGCCTCCTTTGAAGTCAGCGGGTTTTCCCGTTCAGCTGACTTTTATTTTTTAAGCGTGCATACAATTGCTTCCTGTTTGTGCCTCTGAGGCTGTGAAGTAGGGGCTTGCTTTTGTGTATGATGCTTTGGTGGATTTTTATGTATGGTCCGGAATTCACCCAGGCCCGGAAGCTTCTCCAAGGCCACGAAGTTCACTGTAGCCTAATTAAGATCCACCGGGCTTTGTAGAACAGTGGGTAGCAGTCCTGGCTGCACATTGGAATTACCTGGGGGACTTTTAAAATGTCTGTTGCCCAGGCCACACCTCCAGGCCAGTTACATCAGATTTCCCACGGGTAGGGCCCAGGCACGGGTATTATTTTAAGCTCCCCAGGGGGTTCCGATGGGCAACCAAGTGCAGGGCTACTGTTTAGAATCAGCAACAGTATACTCAGGGGAGATGGAAAAGAGAGAAGCCTTGACTTATCCATCCAACTGGAATAAACTCCTTTGCTGATTGAATGGAATCCGTAACCAATACCTCCAGTATCAATTACCTCTCTGTGTCTGGTAACCAACTTTGCTCTCCCCTGTCCCACCTCCCTCACCTCATCAAACATGAAATCCAACCTTTGAAACTGGTTGAAACCAGGAGGACGGGGGAGTGCTCTGTGGGGAGGCTTGCGGTGAGAGGCTTGTTGTCTCCTGCCTGTGGCGTCAGCTCAGCAGCTCTGAGCCTCTGGCTCTCTGCCAGACCTTTCTTCCTACCGCCTCTCCTGTTGAGGTGACCGACCTTTGACCTTTGGAGGAGTGGGCTCCGGGGAGGTTCAGAGCTTTCTTTGTCTTTTCTGGAGTCTCAGTCCAGATCGGGACGGTTTCTGCCTTTATCTCTTGCAATTCAGTCGGATGTCAATAGAGCTGGAACCAGTTTCGAAAGAGAAGATAATTTGGGACGCTGAGGACATTCTCGAATAGTCGTCGCTTGAGTGTTTGAGTGCTCGCTCTGAGCCAGGGACCCTGCTGAGTGCTCTGTGCGTCCTGTCCCGCGCAGCCCTGGGAGGCAGGGGCCGCCGTTGTCCCCATTTGACAGACCAGACTAAACTCAGATG